GAAGGAGTTTTGCTCTTATTGCCCAGGCTGGAGTGCAATGGCGCGATCTCGGCTGACTGTAACCTCTGTCTCCCTGGTTCCAGCGATTCTCTTGCCCTTGCCTCCAGAGTAGCTGGGATTACAGCCACGCGCCACCACACCTGGCTAATTCTTTTGTATTTTTAGTAGAGATGGGGTTTCACCATGTTGGCCAGGCTGACCTCAGGTGATCCACCCACCTTGGCCTCCCAAAGTGCTGGGATTACAGGCGTGTGCCACGGCACCCGGCCGGCTTGATGTTTTTCTGAGCACTCAACCGAATTAGTTTGGAAATGTCTGAGGCTTCTATAATGGAGAAAGAGTGAAACTGAGCAAGGAGTGCCATAACCCCCCTGGTGAAAACCCACCAGATGCTGACATCACTGGAAGCCCCTGTGTAGCTCCAGCTCTCAATTCTGTCACTTCTTTATTCCTCCTGAGTGACGGCTGAGTTTAAATTCTGGGTCTCTCTGCCATGCTGTGAAAAATTGTCTTCTAAAGGACGGCCACCATGTAAGTCAGGGCCTGTGGTTGCACCAGCACCTACCCATCTAGTTCCTTCTTCAAGGAGTTTTAGATCATTTGGTGCTATAGAGCCACTGATGCAGACTATGATAATGTCTGTTCTGGATACTTTATTTTTTATTCTGGTGACAGGTTTTTTTTTTTTTTTTAAATGTAAACTTTTTTTCCCCCCCGATTGGCAATATCATCATTATTTTTCAATCACATTCTTTTTGATTGTTTTTGTTTTTGTTTTTGTTTTTTTTGAGACGGAGTCTCACGCTGTCGCCCAGGCTGGAGTGCAGTGATGTGTTCTCAGCTCACTGCAACTTTGCCTCCCAGGCTCAAGTGATTCTCATGCCTCAGCCTCCCGAGTAGCTGGGACTTACAGGTGTGTGCCACCACACCCAGATAATTTTTTTGTAGAGTGGAGTTTAGCTATATTGCCGAGGCTGGTCTTGAAGTCCTGGGCTCAAGTGATCTGCACCCCTTGGCTTCCCAAAGTGCTGGGATTAGAGGTGTGAGCCACCACACCTGGCCTTACATTCTTAAAATTAATGTGTGTTGACAGTAATTGCCTGTTAGTTGGACCTGTGACTACATTAACAAAAATAATCTTTCATGTAGCATATAGGGTTAGAGTGATAGGGAGGGCGGGAAGAAAAAAAGGAAAAGGAAAAGGATAGAGAGAAAGAGTTCTGTACATTAAAGAATGTGTTGCTCTTGGAGTCTCTGAGATCTTGGCAAGGCCTGCAACGAATTATGTATGTTGTTTTCTCTGGATCCTCAGTGACAATTTGAGCTATGAATAAGAGTTAGAAAGAATAGGACACTGTATTTTCCAGAGTAGAAATATAAATACATGTTTTACAGCCTCAGAGTGAATCCCCAAAACTGAACTCACACTGTAGAATGTAATTTGACACCTCCCTCAATCACAGCCACTAAGAGTGACCGCCATTGGGAACCTAATGTTACTCAGAAAACAAGGACCATCAAATCCTAGGGTTGGGAGGATCTTGGAGGTTATCTTGTCCCTTTTATGCCTTCTAGCTCTTGAGCAATAAGGGAATCTGGAGCAGTGAGGGATGGGAGGGGACAGAGGCAGGGAGCCTTTGCCTCTGACTTTGTCTCAAAGATTCCAGAAATGAGGATGCATTCTTGGTCACCAAAATGCTATCTATCTTATTCTAGTGTTTAGTTTTAAGAAGCCCCAGTGCAAGGATAACAGTGATTAATATTATCAGGAGCACAACATGTTGTGCCTGGCACCATGCCAAGCACTTACAACACAACTTACCTCATTTACTACAACAGCCCCATGAACGTAAGCACTTCATTTATAAAGAGAGCAACACAGAAAAAGGTGAGTAAGTTACTCTAGACTTAGCAAGTGGCAGAGCTGGGGTTCGAACTAAAGTTTGACTGATTTCACACCTCAACCTTTTTTTTTTGAGATGGGAGTCTCTTTATATTGCCCTGGCTGGTCTTGAACTCCTGGGTTCAAGTGGTCCTCCTGCCTCAGCCTCCCAAGTAGCTGGAACTATAGGTGCACACCACCATTCCAAGCTCCTGCATCTCTAACTTTTCTGGTATTTTTATGCCCTGCCATTTGCGAGAAAGTCTTACTATTACAAAATGGTTCTTTTTATGTGCTGTATAATTGGTTTTGACTTACAAGCCAAAAGACATTTTCTTTGAAAATAACAAGCAGTTCATAATTAGGGTTGCCGGGCTTAGCAAATAAAAATACAGGGTACCCAGTACAGTCAAATTTCAGACAGACAACAAATAATTTTTTAGTTTGTGTGTTTTAGATATTTTTAGCCTAACTATGTCCAAAATATTACATGGGACATAATTAAAACTAAAAAAAAAATTATTTGTTTGATATTCAAATTTCCTGGTCATCCTGTATCTTATCTGTATTCACAATGAATGAGACCAAGTTGCTAAATTTAGTCCCTTTGTAGGCCACAGTGTTGCTCTGTTCCATGGCTGATGACTCTCTAGTGGGAACCTCTTCATCTAGGGCCTTCTGTAAACCCTTCAGTCCCATCCCTTGTGTCTTTTTTTTTTTTCTTTTTTTTTTTTTGTTCTGAGCCCTTTGTGTATTCTAGATTCTACTACTTCACTGGTTATGTGTGTGGCAAGCATCTTCTCCCAGTGTGTGTCTAGCCTTCACCCCTCCCCTCCCCTCCTCTCCCCTCCCCCCGCCGTTTCGTTTCGTTTCGTTTCATTTCGTTTCGTTTCGTTTCGTTTCATTCAGCGTCTGATATGGTTTGACTGTGTCCTCACCCAACTCTCATCTTGAATTCCCACGTGTTGAGGGAGCGACCAGGTGGGAGATAATTGAATCATGGGGGCGGGTCTTTCCCGTGCTGTTCTCGTGATAGTGAATAAATCTCACGAGCTCTGATGGTTTTAAGACGGGGAGTTTCGGTGCAGAAGTGCTCTTCTCTTGTCTACCGCTGTCGGAGATATGCCTTCCACCTTCCACCATGATTGTGAGGCTTCCCCAGCCATGTGGAACTGTAAGTCCAATAAACCTCTTTCTTTAGTAAATTGCCCAGTCCTGGGTATGTCTTTATTAGCAGGGTGAAAACGGACTAATACAGCACTCAAAATGTTTTTAATAAGAGAGTAGGATCAGCGTTCGTTTTTCTAGCTCGGCCGGCCCATTCGGCCCTGGCACACTGAAAATTTCGGCCCTTGGAACACATAGGGTTTGGTGTGGCTGTGCGGGGTTGCCAGGGTAAATGCCAGTGTCGCTATGGGCCCTTTTGAGGACCAGAAATCAGGATGGTGCCACAGCACTTGGGGGAATCCAGGCCAGCTGCTCAGAGGTGCGCATCTTGCCCCAGCCTTGGGGATGCGGCTGGGCCCTGGCCGCTCACACGCAGTGCGAACCTTTACTCTGGGCACTTCGTGAACCCGCACAACCGCAGCTGTGGGCCTGAAACCATAGCCGTTTTGTTTTCCGGGCCTGGAAGGTTCATCTTCCGATCAGGATCAGAGGTGGCCGGTTGGTGCGATTCACAAAAAGCCTCTTCAGTATAACCTGGCTGAAGGTGGACAGCTTGACCAACAGCCCTAGGTAGATGTCCAGCGCTTGGGCTCCCTGTGCCCAGCCTTTCTGTCCTTGCTGTGGTGGATGTCGACTCCCACGATGGCGCCTCCGGCTCCACCAGGCCGGGAAGGAGCCATTTCACTTTCTTTACGGGATCTTTGATAAACACATTTTATCAGTGTTTTCCTTTATTATCTGTTGATTTATTTTGAGACAGGCTCTGGCTCTGTTGCCCAGCCTGGAATCCAGGGGCAGGATGTCAGCTCACTCCAGCCTCCACCTCCCAGGTTCAAACAATCCTTCCACCTCAGCCTCCTGAGTATCTGGGACCATAGGTACGCATCACCACACCCAGCTGATTTTTGTGTGTTTTGTAGATATGGGGTCTTCCTACATTGCCCAGGTTGGTCTTGAACTCGTGGCCTCAAGCAAATGTTTTCCTTCATAGTCATAAGATACTTTTGTGTCTTATTTAAGAAATTTGGCTGGGCATGGTGGCTCATGCCCTGTAATCCCAGCACTTTGGGAGGCTGAGGTGGGCAGATCACTTGAGGCCAAGAGTTAAAGACTAGCCTGGCCAACATAGTGAAACCCTGTCTCTACTAAAAACACACAAAAATTAGCTGGGCCTGGTGGCACACGCCTGTAATCCCAGCTACTCAGGAGGCTGAGGCATGATAATCGATTGCATCTGGGAGGCAGAGCGATAGTGAGCCAAGATCATGCCACTGCACTGCAGCCTGGGTGACAGAGTGAGACCCTATCTCAAAAAAAAAAAAAAAAAAAAAAAAAAAAAAAAAAAACTTTTCCCCCCTATTTGGAGAATACGGAGGTGTTCTTTTTTTTCATTTTGATTTTTTTTGTTTGTTTTACTTTTTGTATTTGTCTTTTTTTTTTTTTTTTTTTGAGACAGAGTCTTACTCTGTCACCCAGGCTGGAGTGCAGTGGCATGATCTTGGCTCATTGCAACCTCTGCCTCCCAGGTTCAAGTGATTCCCTCCTGAGTAGTTGGGATTACAGGCACCCACCACCACACTCAGCCAATTTTTTTGTATTTTTAGTGAAGGTGGGGTTTCACCATGTTGGCCAGGCTGGTTTCGAATTCCTGACCTCAGGTGATCCACCCACCTTGGCCACCCAAAGTGCTGGAATTACAGGCATGAGCCACTGCGCCTGGCCATATTTAGGTCTAATCTGCCAGTATTTCTGCTTGTGTGCAGTATGTTGTTGGGTCCTCCATTGTGCCAGCACTATTTATGAGTGATCCATCTTTCTTTGATGATCAACAATTAAAAAAAAAAATCTTTAAAAAAATATGGAATGCTGATTTTACAGTGAACTATGATTGTGACACTGCACTCCAGCCTGAACAACAGAGTGAGACCGTCTCTTTAAAAAAAAAAAAAAGAAAAAGAAAGATCTCTTAATGAATTGGTGTGCCATCCTGGTGAAGGGGCCATGCTGATCTTCTCTGTATAGTTCCCATTTTAGTATATGTGCTGCCGAAGTGAGTGCTAATCAACAATTTTAGTATTTCTGTGACTGTTCCCACTGCTGGACAATGAGCTACTTTTGTCTGTATATTACTAGAGTCTAGCATATAGGATTTGTCTCTGAGAGTGGGCTAAATAATTGTTGAACTGTGTTTTTTTTTTTTTTTTTTTTTGAGACGGAATCTTGTTCTGTCACCCAGGCTGGAGTGCAGTGGTGCAATCTTGGCTCACTGAAACCTCTGCCTCCCAGGTTCAAGTGATTCTCGTGCCTCAGCCTTCCGAGTAGCTAGGATTACAGGCATACACCACCACACCTGGCTAATTTTTGTATTTTTAGCAGAGATAGAGTTTCACCATGTTGACCAGGCTGGTCTTGAGCTCCTGGCCTTAGGTGCTCAAGCCTGCAAAAGTGCTGGTATTACAGGTGTGAGCCACTGTACCTGGCTTGAACTATGTTCTTAATCCTGGGCACCACCTGCAAAAATCTGTTAATATAAGTAGGGGCTTAAGCAAAGGAAGATTTCTGCTAATGAGGAATTTTATCTCAAGTAACTGTTGAATTTACTAAATGAGTTGATGAGTTTCATTATTGGAATAATAATTGTATTAGTTCTCGAATGCTATAAAGAAATACCTGAGACTGGGCCGGATGTCGTGGCTCACACCTGTAATCCCAGCACTTTGGGAGGCCAAGGTGGGTGGATTACCTGAGGTCAAGAGTTTGAGACCAGCCTGACCAACATGGCAAAACCCCATCTCTACTAAAAATACAAAGTTAGCTGGGCGTGGTGGCAGGGGCCTGTAATCCCAACGACTCAGGAGGCTGAGGCAGGAGAATTGCTTGAACCCGCGAGACAGAGGTTACAGTGAGCCAAGATTGTGCCATTGCACTCCAGTGTGGGTGACAGAGCAATATGCTGTGCCAAAAAAAAAAAAAACAAAAACCCACAAAAAACAAAAAACTGAGACTGGGTAATTTATAAAGAAAAGAGGGCGCCGGGCGCGGTGGCTCAAGCCTGTAATCCCAGCACTTGGGAGGCCGAGATGGGCGGATCACGAGGTCAGGAGATCGAGACCGTCCTGGCTAACACGGTGAAACCCCGTCTCTACTAAAAAAAAAAAAATACAAAAAAACTAGCCGGGCACCTGTAGTCCCAGCTACTTGGGAGGCTGAGGCAGGAGAAGGGCGTGAACCCGGGGGGCGGAGCTTGCAGTGAGCCGCGCCAAGATCGCACCACTGCACTCCAGCCTGGAGACAGAGCGAGACTCCATCTCAAAAAAAAAAAAAAAAAAAAAAAAGAAAAGAGGTTTAGTTGGCTCAGGGTTCTGCTGGCTGTACAGGAAGTATAGAGGCTGCTTCAGGGAACTTACAATCATGGCAGAAGGCAAAGGGAAAGCAGGCATGTCTTATGTAGCCAGAGCAGGAGGAAGAGAGAGTAGGCCGGGGATGCCACACACCTCTAAACAACCAGAATTGTGGGATAGCTCACTCACTCACGAGAACAGCTCCAAGGAGATGGTACTAAACCATTCATGAAAACTGCCTCCATGTCCCAGTCACCTCCCACCAGGCCCTGTCTCCAACACTGGGGATTACAATTGAACATGAGATTTGGGTGGGAACACAGATTCAAACCATATCAATAATAATATTTCAATAATAATTCAATAGATACCTTTCACTGAGATTTGACCAAGGCCAGGCGAAGCTTTACTCACATTCTCACTTTTCATCCTCACACGGCATAGTCAGGAAGAAAATGTCATCGTCACTATTCGCAGAGGAAGAAGCTATGGTTCGGGGTGACCTGGTGTGCTGGAGGTCACACAGAGCAGGGTGCAGGCTGGGACTATGAGCAGCTCTGTAATGACAGCTCAGAAAACCTCTAACACAAACTTGACCTCATTCTGCCTCTTCAGCATCACAAGGTGCTAAACCAGATGCCTAGAAATAGGGCACAGCTTTCCAGCTAGGACATTTCTATACAGGACCTGTAGTCTCTATAACCAAAAGGGACCCTAGATGAGAGTCTACATGTGAAAGTTAGTGGGGCTTACATTTTGGCCCAACTCCAGAAGAAACTTTCTAAACTAGAATTGTTTGACGTGGAACCATTCCCAGCAGTGTTAGAAGCTTTGCACCATCCAGCTGTACTGTGTGACATCCACCAATCACTGGCACATGTCCTGATAGTACCTACTCTCTGTAGATCTCATTTCCAGGTCTCCATTCTCCCATTGTCCTGAGGTCCCCATTTCTCTCAGAGCTTCTGTATCTTGGGGTCTGAGTATTCGATAAACATTGCTTGAACCCCTCTATTCGTCAGGTACTGTACCAGGTGCCGGGGTGCAGACGTGGATAAAAGAGAGTTATCCTTAGGATGGTCACTGAGGCAGAAAGATTCATTAACATGATTTTATTATAATCTGGTAAATGTTAAGATGTGCACTGTCTCCTGTAGGATCCCAGAGAAGGGCCCTGGTCCTAACAGGACGATGTCTGGAAAAGATGCCTTTTGAGATGAATGACTCTTGAAGGATGAGGAGATTTAAGTCAGGCAAAGAAAGTCCATAGTGATGTGGCTGGGGGTGGTGGAGAACCCATGCCATTCTAAGAACCAAAGAGTAGTGGCCGGACACAGCGGCTCATGCCTGTAATCACAGCGCTTTGAGAGGCTGAGGTGGGCGGATCACCCAAGGTCAGGAGTTCGAGATCAGCCTGGCCAACATGGTGAAACCCTGTTTCTACTAAAAATACAAAAATAAGCCAGGCGTGGTGACGGGTGCCTATAATCCCAGCTATTCAGGAGGCTAAGGCAGGAGAATCACTTGAACCTGAGAGGCAGAGGTTGCAGTGGGCCAAGATAGCACCACTGCACTCCAGCCTGGGCAACGAGAGCGAAACTCGGTCTCAAAAAAGAAAAAGAAAAAAAAGAAAAAAAATATAGAACCAATGAGTATCTTTGAATCTCAGCATAGACTGCTTCCCTGTTCCTCAGCTTTTCCCCTTTGCCTTCTCCCTGGGACTTTTCCCAATCTTTTCCCTGGATAGAAAGCCTTGGAGTTCTCCCATTATCTGTAATTCTTACCTATCTCCAGAAAGTCATTTATCTCTTGACCTCTGTTTTATTTTATTTATTATTAATTTCTTTCTTTTTTTTTTTTTTTTAAACTGAGTCTTGCTGTGTTGCCCTGGCTGGAGTACAGTGATGTGATCTTGGCTCACTGCAACCTCCACCTCCTGGGTTCAAGCGATTCTGCCTCAGCCTCCTGAGTAGCTGGGACTACAGGCGTATGCCACCACGCCTGGCTAATTTTTGTAGTTTTAGTAGAGATGGGGTTTTCCTGTGTTGGCCAGGCTGGTCTTGAACTCCTGACCTCAGGTGATCTGCCCACCTTAGCCTCCCAAAGTGCTAGGATTACAGGCATGAGCCACTGCGCCCCGTCTTGACTTCTGTTTTAATTCTAATTATGTGCTGGGGTCTAAAAGTTCATTGTAAGGCAAACTCTCAGAGACAGTAACTCAGGAAAGGAGTGGAGAAGGCTCCAGACCCAGCATCTGAAGTGCACACTGGCCTGCGCAGAGCAGAGTGAGTGAACCGTGCATGGTCCACAGCACCACTTGAGGCCCAGAAACCCCTGGCTGCCTAAACACCACTGAGATCCTCCTTGGTAGTAACCAGGTGTGTGGAAAGAGCTTCCACACCAGAAAGACCTGGAGATAAATTCTGGCCCCACTTCCTAGCTTCTCCACAGAAAGTGACTTTCCTTATCAGGGTCTCAGTTTTCTTATCTGTAAAATTGGTAGGAAATAAGTGCCCTTCAGGGTTGTTCTAGGATTAAACAGGATGGCCCATGGAAAGAACTGCCAGGGAGGCGCCCAATCAATGTCACTTTCGTCTAGATTTCTTTGTGTGAAAGAACTGACTAGAAGAAAATACCCCAAAGCAATTGATGCTTTTTCCCAAAGTATTAGAATAAATTTAGAAAATTTGCACTTAAAATCTTATTTGTGGTGGCCAGGCGCAGTGGCTCACGCCTGTAATCCCAGTACTTTGGGAGGCTGATGCAGACAGATCACTTGAGGTCGTGAGTTCAAGACTAGCCTGGCCAACATGGTGAAACCCGTGTCTACCAAAAATACAAGAATTAGCCGGGTGTGGTGATGCACACCTGTAATCCCAGCTACTGAGGACACAGAGGCAGGGGAATCACTTGAACCCGAGAGGCAGACGTTGCCGTGAGCCAAGATTGCACCACTGCACTCTAGCCTGGGCAACAGAGTGTGACTCCATCTCAAATAATAAAAATAAAATAAAATAAAATCTTTTTTGTGGAAAATGTAAGCCTAGGGATATTCCTAGGGCCAGAGAGTGGGTATATTTATTTTTTATTTTTTAAAAAGCTTTAATATTTTATATAGAGGGAACCTCACTATGTTGCCCAGGCTGGTCTCAAACTCCTGGCCTCAGGTGATTCTCCCACTTTGGCCTCCCAAAGTGCTGGGATTACAGGCGTGAGCCACTATGCCTGACCCAAAGAGTGGGTGGATTCTGGAGGCAACTGGACTTGAGGATCTTTTTCCAGCAAATACTAGAAAAGATCATCTGAGAGATGAATATTGACCATCATCCCACTACACCTTCTGAGGGATATTCTGCAAGTACCCGCATGTCTGACTCTGTCTCACAGTCCTTATATTATTGAGAGTCCTTTCTGTTATCTTACTTAAAGTTTCTTGTACTTCAGCATGAGTCATGCTTTCTTCTTATAGCAAGGGAGTACTGCTATAAAATGGACATTTTAACTACATAGCAACATCCTGTTTCATCTGAAGCTCTGTTGCTCCCTCGTTTGCCTGGTTTACAAGTTATCATACTGTATTATGGAATGCTGGGCCTAAGCCAGACCTCTTCATTCACATGAGGAAACTGAGGCTCAGAGAAGTCCATTACCTAGCTATGATTCTACAGCCAGTAAGGCACAAGAGCTGAGTTAGAACTCAAGTTTTCTGAGTTCCAA